ATATATATATATATATATACTCCGTAAACCACATTGTCATAGGCAATCTTATTTATATTCGAACCTTTATATTGATCTAATGAAACCGATTTAGCACGACTAATTCACGAAAGAGCATTTCTTTTGAAATCACCTCTTATCAGTCAGCATTATGTAAAGGGTTGGTGTTATCTCGGCACAGCAGAGGCTTGACGGATTGTGGTTTAATAGATCTCCACTGAGCATCAGTTCTCTCGCGACACATTCATCTGCTCACCTCTTAACTCGACTGTAACTATACGCCGGACAAAAACAATCGTAAAGCTTTATCTTTAATAACCTATACGTGGTTAAGCAGAGCAACACTTAGCAAACTCTGTAGGCTGTTCTGCTTTTCTTTTTCTTTCTGTAGTCTATTTAGGCTACTGCAGGGCATCTTCAGTCTTTCAGTGCAGCCCACTAGGCTATATACTCACCCCTTTACATTTTTCTTTTAAAAAAAGAAACGCATTTTCAGTCTTCTCCTCCATTCATCGGTACATAATAGAGGTAACTGCTGGTGCTGTTGACTGTCATTTAGGTGACCAGCAGAAACCACCAAAAGGGGGAGCTATGAGACACATCTGCTCGTTAGAAAGCAATTAATACAGACATATCGTGCACCACAGTGCCAGGTGGTTTTTCTAAATAGTTGGCGTAGAAGCTCTTTCAGGCCTGCAAACCATGAAACACGTCCGTCTTATTCACAGAATTGTTTATGCTTAGCCAATATTTAGCCAAATTTGTTTTTTTCAACTTACCGCATATCTTCATTCCAAGTTTCCTAGTGCATCCATGAGCGACTCCACTCCAGTCATAGTCTACGGGGAGAAAACGGCGAAATCTCTAAGTAATAATTATGGTTCCCGCCTATCCACAAAACACCCTCTTTCTAAACGCACCCAAGCGGTAAATGCACCATCCTTTATGCTCCTAATATGAAATGAATGTGTCAGGCAGCTGAACAGAATTCAGCATCAGGACAAGAGGTGGATGTGGAGCTGCCGCGCCTGCGGCCCAAATCCTCAGCAGCGCTATTATGAGTTCAGCACCATTTACCAGCAGCTCATTATCTCTCCCAGCAATCCCGAGCCATTCTTCTCTTCAAGTGCCCTCTCCTCTATTCATCTCAGGCGCATTGCAACTGCAATTCTGATTTACTTGTATTAGACTGTGATGCAAATAACTGGCATGCTCGGCAGATAAATGTGGCACGAAAACATAAAGCGAATTTTTCAATCGGATGCAATTTTTTTATTTCTAAATTTAGATTTCACATTTTATATAGGGACCTACATGACGAACTTAATGGCATCTTGTTTTGAAAAGACTGCATATATAGGACACTTCAAGAATTTAATAAATAGCGATGATTTTATGCTTTTGAATTTTTTTTTTTTTTAAATCAATAGGCTATAAAAATAGAAATGTGAGAAATTAAATCTACAATTGCTGATTGCAGAGCCCCCTCCCCAAAAAATAAACAGAGCCCAGGATGAATGTGAGCAAATGTACCCCGCAGCTACAGACATAGAAGATGTTTTGAAGCGCATGTTTCTGTTCATAATGAAATTAATAAACAGAGCTGTTTGCCTCCCCCATCACAGAGAAACAGCGGGTCATTACTACCGGTTTAGAGTGCCTACAATTATAGATACACTTCTTATAATAACACACTTCTGCAGACAGACTCGTCCCCGTTTTTACCTTTTAGACCGAGATGACAAACATATACAGAAGTCGGCTACAATACTGAAGCTATAAAACTGTCCTGCAATATAACATCTTAATAATACATTTTAATAATAGCTAATGTTAATAATAATGATAGCTAATTTTAAATTACACAAAGTATATATAGGCTAGCCTAATTTTAATAATAGCTAGCCTACATTAGAAACAATAGTGGGTTGCAGATGACCTGTTAGGTACATGTTTAGCAAGACAAAAATATATTTAAAATGAATAATGACGGATCGGAGTTGGCTGCTCGTCTGTCTTGACTAATTGCCTGCTGTGTGCAGGTGTGTTTAAAGGCCATCACCTATGTTGACAGCGACATTGGTCAGGCTGGCGCGGGGGGTCCGCCGCGCACTCGGTGTTGCGGTGATTTGTTGCTCCTGACGCGTTGCGAATAGCACCGTTTCCCCGTCTCACCCACAAGATTAATGGCGTTGGCCACAAAGCAAATAGCCGGAGTGAAATAGCGGTTTATCGGTGATGGACCTACTTGAGGAGGGTGGCCGTAAATTTGTCGAGTTGGGATCCGGATCGCTGCCAGAAGAGGAAGAGGAGGAGGAGGAAGAAGCCGCCATCAGCCCCAGTGTGTCACTCTCAGAGAAACTGCTCCTGTTTCAGCAGACACAAAAAGTCAAGCTGACTGGAGGGGAGATATAGGGGAAGTTCTGCATCATTTAAGGTCCATATCTAGCATTAATTGAAACAGATTTTTCATATCATAAATGAAAACAATAATTAGGTCGAATATGTTAATGCATTAGATAGTCTGGAGACGCTCTTTTCTTTAACAAATCAAATACTTTAGGTTCTTCGGGTTACAAGCTCCTCTGGAAACAGAACTTTGTATTTTTTTATTTCTAAAGAACAACAGAACCTTAACAAAGAACCATTTCAACACAAAGGATTATTTGTGTGGATGTGTTTCAAATCAAACTATTATTATAATTAAAGAGCCTTTCAGAAACCAGTCTACGCACACAGGTTGCCGAGCCTTAAAATGATTTCTTGTAGGCTTACTTCTTCAGAAAAGCCGAGAATATATGAAACATCCCACGACAAACCCAAGACCATTTAACTATTTTCTCACTGAAAATGATACTGGATCAAAAATGTCAAATGATTTGAAGACCTCTGCATTAAAATAATACTACACTCTTAAAAATAAAGGTGCTTCAAAAGGTTCTTCAAGCGATGCCATAGAAGAACCATTTTTGGTTCCACAAAGAACCATTCAGGCAAAGGTTCTTTAAAGAACCTTTGCCTGAATGGTTCTTTGTGGAACCAAAAATGGTTCTTCTATGGCATCGCTTGAAGAACCTTTTGAAGCACCTTTATTTTTAAGAGTGTAGATCTGAAAGAGTGCTCTAAAAGTTTCTTTCACAGAAATAGATTTGGTGCTCATCATCGTGCCAATAGGAATCACATATTGTCTTGATTAATATAGTCTACACATGTTAACATTGATTAAGAAATGGTGCATATTGATTTCTCAATTCAGATGACATATGGATGAAGAAACCGATGGCTGTTGAAAGGTTAATAGAAACCTGATACTAAGCTATATGCAATATAAATTTGCATTGTTAGATTTAAATAGCCATTTTTTTTTCAGATGACATAAAATCCAGTTTTACCGAATAAACATAGCCTACAGCACAAAAGCGCAGACTGCACTGAAAACCTGACTGTTGTGAAGCACCTGTTAGATTAATAATTACAGTTTTACTTTAGACATTAAAAATAAAGTCCAGGAAGCCGCTTACCTTGTAAAAGAAACGAGAGGATGCAACAGTATCCAAAATCTCCACGCAACTAAATTTCCTCGACGTCAGATGCGCCCTCACCCCTCCAAATTCAGCTCACAAATATATATATAAAACAATCTCATTGATGGATCACGATGACCTTTCCGTTTGATTCGCTGCTACTCAAAGCGCAAATCGCCTATTTATTCGACACTGCATGCGCGTGACGCGCGGCTAGAAATCCTCGGACCTGTCCACAACATCAGACTGGCTCTGAATCACATCTCACTTCTACACAAGCATCAGCATCGCGAGCGTTATTACTACAGCTCTGGCACCTTCCCGCAGGACTTTGTGCCTTAAACGAGAACGCAAGTCACGAACAAACACTTTCCAAGTTTGACACAGCAGCCACACACCACACCACAGCAACGCACAGCACAGCACAACACGTTACATGCTGCTCCGGAGAGGAGTCTGGGTCGTTCTGACCTTCAAGCATCAAGGACAACACTGCTTGCAGAGTTCTTGCGTTTTATTTAGCACCTGTTCTTGAACAGGTTATTCATAAATATCTATAAGCGAGAGACTCCTCGAGCTTTGAAGGGTTATTAGCCTTTATGTTTACGCGCAAGTGATCTTCTTAACCTTGAAAAGAGAAGCTCTTGTCTGAGAAGTTTTAGTGCTGGCTGTTGGACACGAATGGGAATGCTGTTCAGATTGGTGTTGTAGGGGAACTCCACATGGTGGCAGCAAGCGTTCAATGAATGCAATAAACTCAAGCGAATTCACACGCACATTCTTAGTTCATGCATGCAGTGCTTTTATGTTTTTTTTTTTTGTTTTTTTTTTCATCAAGGTGATAAGATTTCCTTAAGCATTATTTTACCTAAACACATCTGGCAAGAAGGAATGCATCGACTGTATAGGAGTGATAGGCTACTGATGAATGTGTTTCAGCACCTGGACAGCTCCCTCTGTGACTCAAATCTGCAGGAGGACTGCAAAAAAAAAAAGAAAAAACAGCAAATAATCAAACTGAAAACTCATCATACACTCTTAAAAATAAAGGTGCTTCAAAAGGTTCTTCAAGCGATGCCATAGAAGAACCATTTTTGGTTCCACAAAGAACCATTCAGGCAAAGGTTCTTTAAAGAACCATCTCTTTCTTACCTTTTTGTAATCTGAAGAACCTTTTTTCGCCACAAAGAAGCTTTTGTGAAACAGAAAGGTTCTTCAGATGTTGAAGGTTCTTTATGGAACCATTTAGACAAAAAGGTTCTTCTATGGCATCGTGAAGCACCTTTATTTTTAAGAGTGTACCCGCTGTTTATTGTCTACAAAGAGGCTCTTCAATGGTTTTTCCAACTCAAAGAACCCTCTTCAACGGAGAATCATTTTCTGTTGAGTCTTGAATTGGCAGTCACACCTCAGCTTCTAAATGTGTGTTTGTTGAGCAAAGAAACGCTTACTGAGTCACTTCAGAACCTTTATTTCTAACAGTTTAGCTATTCATGTATTTTCTAGCTGCATTCTGACATTAGCATTATAGACATTGGTGGTCATTACAAAATAAAGCAACTTTCATGGTAAGTTTGTTGGTCTTGCAGTAGGTGTATGGATGCGATCAAACGTTCATTTTGAAAAACAACGCTGTTCTTGATTCACGCCCTAGTAATTTCAGTGAGAAGCAGCAGCAGGACAGAAGCAGAATATGATCCTTTTTTACAGCTTCAGAACCTCAAGTCGACGCAAGATGGCGCTGGTATATTAGTAGCGGTCCGCAAAGCTCAGTCCACACGCACACCTGCTTCGTCTATGCAAATTATGCCATTAGGCAACAAAATAAAACAATTAATAAATAATTGCATTATGTTTGTATAGCGTTAAAACATTGTTCTTAGACATTTTAGACATTTGACTTTTTTTGGAATGTGGTCAAGAGTTCATAGGCTACAGGTAAGTAGTGATAATAATAATAATAATAATAATAATAATAATCCCAGTGATGGTAATCAGAAAGATGTCATAGCCTAAAAAGAATGTTCAGAATGCAACTCAACTTGCAATCAATCAATCAATCAATCAATAGCGAATTAAAATGAATAAACAAATAGTTTTGGCCCTGATTGGTAAATAAAACACTTTAGTCACAGCTTTGACTTGTTTATCATAGCACTGCACGCTGTCTATAGCGCATAGGGACTATACATTTTAGAGGAAGTATTTCACTTAGTAAATTAGCTTAATAAAATTGTGTTTTAATAAAAAAATGTGTATGCAATATTTGTATATGTAGTAATCCTTTTAGAAAAGCAATAAGCAGTCAGGTCACAATATAGCAAAGTATCTTTCATCTCACTGCTTAACAAAATAAATTGGATGTTTAGAGAGAAAAAAAAGGAAAGGAAAAGTAGCATGGGACACTGAGGTGAGAAATGTATCAATCTTTCCGTGCAAAGCATCGCTTCATTCTCCAGCCAGACGTGATGCTCTTAAACACACCCCAAACAACCTTTGATGCTCAGCTAGGCCTGGGTTTATTATTTTTTTTTCACATTTAATACTCTAAAATAAACAAGCACATGTAAGATTGCAAGTATGCATGCTTAAGTATGTGTGTCTAAACGCCTGATTCTGCCAGACTTTCAACAGACTGACATCAAAGGAAGATCAGAGTGTGGCATTCAGATCAGGTCACGGTGAGGCTTAAACACAAACTCCCTCCAGCAGTCCCTCCGTGCAAAGCCGCGTGTGCTGTTGTGATAGCCTGACCATATCTCGCTCTCTGAAGGAGAGGAACAGCCTTGTCTGCCCTATGGGAAGAATTCACCGCTTGCTGCTGCAGAGGCACACTGAGACATGTTACTCAGTACCTGAAAAAGACACATGCGCAGATCCTTCAGCGATTGGTTTTTAACTTCAAATTGGGACATTTTGAGACATGCGAGTTATTATTTATTCTGTAGCATGACTCCAGTCAAAACTGACACATCTACTAAAGCACTTGACATGTTATTTTATAAATCAAGTTTATGTTAGTAAATTCTCTGCTTTCTTTTGTCTTGTATTTTGGTATTCATCTTGGCAATGTGTGAGTTTAGTAACAAAATGATTAATTGACATTGTAAGCAAATACCAATACGCTCTTATCGCAAATTTGTATCTATTTTATGCTTTAGCGAATGGCTGCCCTAATCTGTACAGGCTTCTCGTGATGTCTCGTGAGGCCTAACTTACTGATCATGTATTTTTATATCACTCTAGCAAGAAATTACTTGCTAAAAACACGAATGAATATGAAGAGATGACAACGAATGTTTGAATAATTAGTCTTTTTGTTTTACACGTACAACAAATAACAATAATCGGTTTAATGTTGAGAAAATCACTATTCATTATGATAGAAGATCTGTTTTAATAATAACATTTAAATGTTCAATCAACATTTTTAGAATTTAGGATTCATTTTGAAAAAAAAAGTAAATCAACAAATAAACAGTGATTAGGGATTCTCTCCTTTACATAATTCAGAATGTGGTTGTAAAAGTATTGAGCTCACTCGTGTTGATGGAAAAAGATCCAGTACGTGATTGGATGATTGGTATTAGGAGTTTGGAAACTAGAATTATGGATTTCCTGAAATGGTTTAAAGAGGG